CTAAATACTTAAGGCTGATGTTTTACATAAAGGCATATATTGTTGTTAAGACGATTCTACTTTGTAATAATACAAATCCTTCGTGTTTCAGGATTTTCAATTTCACAATTAACTTGGATAGTACGGAATGTGCCTATCGAAGAATGTTGAGATTTCATTTTATAGGAGTTCACCCTCTTTAATCGTTCCCCGCCTTTTTCTTCTTCTAATACTTATTGTCTCAGATTTGAATGCAGAAAAAACTTTTAAGGAGTAAAACACACAAAAATATAGAGCACAAATCCAATAATTAATTTAATACTTGACCGATGCTAGCGAAATTAAATGGACGTTAAGAGCGCATTCTCGTCTGTCATTATTGTAGTGTACGAACCACCGACATACCCGTAGCATTTTTAAAGCCTTGATTTAAATGTCAAAATACACGCTTTAGACAGCTTTAGATTCACTAAATGTGAACGAGTACTCAGAAAAAATGTTGTTCAAGTGGAAAAATTATACGAATATGAGTACGCAAATTAGATAAGAAATCGGTTATTTTCATTTTAGGTACTACTCTATTTTTGTGGAATTTTCGTTAGTAGATCAATGTACACGATATATACATAACATGTATTTCAGATACACTACTATTTATTATATTTTGTGTAAATCTGCTAAAAATTGGGAAAGATAAAAAGAAAAAAGACGTTAATACCTATTGACGAGCTTTAGTTTTGTTTGTTGTGAATAGAAAAAATGATTTTTTCTGTAAGAAAATTTGATAAAATAATGTTTATCACATAAAATAAGCAAGTAATAAACGGAAGATGGAATTCTAGCCAGAGTATTAGGGCAAGCTAAAGGAATTATTGTATATACTGTATTCGATAAGATGTGTTTATATCATAGACAAATACAGGGCAGGCGAATAAAATCATCATAATAAATTTAAATCTTAAGCTGTCAGTGGCTACAGCTTAATTTCGACAACTGTGCGAACATAATAGGTACTTAACTTTATGGCAAATATTTCCAAGAGTAATACTAATGGCAAGATTATAACTTAAATCAATCAATAAACTTGCTAGTCAACTCTTCATATCGTTTTATGATCAGTCAGAACTTTTGTGTGTATTAAATTTTACCAGTAACTGAAAATAACAAGTGAATAAAATTTCACATGAAACTGATATATCGACTTGAAAATATGTTAAGATTACTGAGATTTGAAAAAACGAATTTGGTTTTTGGCTAAGTAACAATAAATTAATATATTTTATAATATATTTTACTACAAACAATAGCGTATTGTCTGCTATAATTTTTTTTTTACTTATGTAGCCCATTCTTCGTGTATCAATGACATTAATGAGCTAAAATCTCTTCACTCTAAAAACATGCTCAGTTTTCTAATATGTAACAGTGCAGATTTAATTTTTATACTATACATTGATTTATTGATATTACAGTAGTGAAAGAGTATAACAATTCTTCGATTCTAATAAGTTATTAACATCACTTTTATATTGTATTACAATATGAGCGTCGAATATAAAATTGGATTAAAAAAAAGTATTAGAGCATTTTTATTGTGTAATAAATCAATAAATTACTAATGTGTAATACGGGTAGTGCGAAACGTATCTATTTAAGGCTTATGTAAATAATTAACTTTCTATTTAATTCAAAAATGGCTCGTCAAGAGCTATCGAGCTCATTAATTACGTCCAACGACGCCTGTATGTCGCATCGTGACTTCAACACATCAGGAAGGACTCTTACGTTTTATAGGTTACTGTGTTCTAAAGGGTTTTAGCATCGTGTGAAACTTAATAGTTATCTTCTATCTTCTATATATATATAAAAATGAATTGCTGTTCGTTAGTCCCGCTAAAACTCGAGAACGCCTGGACCGATTTGGCTAATTTTGGTCTTGAATTATTTGTGGAAGTCCAGGGAAGGTTTAAAAGGTTTAGATATATATGAAAACGCTCGGAATTAAATAAAAATAAAAATTTAGTTTTTCCTTTGATATGTCCTCCGTAGGATGGATTCCTTTTGTTTGTTTTAAGTTTATTTTATACAAAAGTTTAGGTCTTTTATTCGATTGAGGCACTACGAAGTCTGCCAGGTCAACTAGTTTAATATACAAATACTATGGTAAACTGAGTTTGAATTTTTTCTTCGAGATAGGCAGTCTTTGTATTGGGACACTAAGTAAAAAATCAGTTACTTTATCGTTATGGGGGCTACAGCAGCAGGTTTTAAATTGTAAAATGTTTAATCATACTCTTTCTTACAGTTGTACAGCTAGTTAAATTATAAATCCATTTGTTATATGAAGTCGTGGCGTCACCTAAAGGCGTCACCACGCCCGGTCTACTCGCATCGGGCGACGCGACTAACTTGATGCTTAGAATACGCAGACAAGTACCAAATTTACGTAGCCAGGCGAGCCGTGAGCTAATTCACCCATTAATGCAATAAAATAAAGGCTTAAAAAAACTAACAGTAGCTTCAAGAATATTTTTGATAAAAATATCTTGCTTCTATTTTTCATTGGATATCTTTTGGATCATTAGATCGGTGAATGGCATATTTCGTTTAAGATCACATTCAAATGATATTTTATTTCCGTGCTGCGAAGTTATATTAGTTATATATCGGCCCTAAGAATATTGTGCCTGCCTATATTAGGCAGAGAAGCTTAGTACCGAGTTGAAAAAATTTATATGTGTACGTATGATTTTTAATTGTACAGGTGGCTATTTCGGGTAATTAATTCTACTCATACTTCTACTGCTATTAAAAAAACGTACAATAAGCACCCTGTCCTAATATTTTTAAATACAGCTTATTAAAATGCATTTGCGTGTGATTATGTGTTAGCATGATAACGGCGGACATGGAATTATGCTTCGTCGCACACAGATTTGCATCCACACCATAATATAACTAATATTTTTGTCTATGTTTACATATTAGATTCAAGTAAAGTAAACTAAAACACTTTTGTTTTTTTCTATAAACTATAGATTATAGGCTATCGACTTATTGATTTCTTTAAGATTAAAGCGTCAATTATTTTTTCCATTATTAGCTAAAAATTTGTAGCCAAACAATAATAGCTGTTATATGTATGTTGGTTTTTATATATAATATTTCTTGATATACCTATTTTTTTATTATTTTGTTTATGCGTAACATATGAACAAATAGTTTAACGTTTGTGCCACTAACGATTTCAATAAATCAATTAGAGCTGCCATGCCATGAGCACTCGTGAACACCCTTGAACTTAAGTATATTGTGCTTAATAGACCTCATTGTGATCGCTACGCGAATACCGCTACTTACCTTGAGACATGGGGTCGATGTCTCAATCGCGTTGACGGCTGTCCCGCCCTTCGAATTGGAACGCGTAACTGCTTCTTGGCCTAAATTATAGCATTTTGCTTTTAATGATCCATCTTGATATAACAATGTCTTAATAAAAGTATACAGCAATTCAAACAATCGATACAAATTTTTAATGCTAGTTAGTGCTAATGATTGAATTTATCGGTGCCGACTTTACAATTTTACTTCACGAGTTAAACGATTAATACAAAATTAGTACGTATTCCTTTTGGATGTCACGTATATTATTAATATCAATATTCATATATCATATATGCGGTAGGCATCATCATCAATATATGCGGTAGGCAGCGGCTTGGCTCTGCCCCTGGCATTGCTGAAGTCCATGGGCGACGGTAACCACTCATCATCAGGTGGGCCGTATGCTCGTCTGCCTACAAGGGCAATAAAAAAATTAAAAAAAATCTTTAAAACTATTATTCCTATTTATTCTTAATAAAATTGAATGGTAAAGTTTTAATAAACACAAACAATTTTTCTTTTACAACTTCCGATTTTTTTTTGTTGATTTCTTCTTTTATATCCTTTGCACATAATCATGAATATTAATGTTCGATCATTAACATTTATAGCTTGTTCAATCGTCTTTGAAATATATTGGTCGTATTTAATATTACATTAAATAATACATTTGATTACCAATCACCCGAAATAATAGTGGTCATCTAACTATTTTAATAACTATCAGTATTTAATAGTAGTCATCTAGCCGTTTCAATAACAATTCACGGTTATTTATTATAGAAACTGATATTCTAAAAGTTGTAAATAGGATATAAATATTTACGTCCGACTTTATAATCTATATTAATGACTAATAATATTGCTCCAAGTATTATCTAACATTTTTGAAACAATTTTAAAAGTTTTTGGTAATCAAATTCAAACATTCTCTATTTTTGTTTTTTTTTTTTTTGATGATTTTATGCATATCATACATATAACAAATGCAAATAAAGTTTGTGCATAAAGTTTTTTATTGTACATAAGATAAGCATAAAATATAAAGAATGAGAGGTCGTCCGTCATTTACATTTCTAATAATAAGTATTTTTATGGGCTTAATATTATTATTATTTATTTTCCTACCTAAGCTGTTAATTAACCTTAAAGGGTTATGCCAGCGTCTTAATATCATTATGAAAATTAAGGCGTCTAAGTCGACTTTACTACATGCGTTTAGTAGTGTTGTGATGTACCGCATAAAATTCGTCACGGGCCGCGATTTGACATTAGTTTTAATTCACATTTGGTAATGCAGAGAAAGCTTATCATAACCCTCACGTAATTTCATTTTACGTAATAACTTAGAAACTCTTTATTACATTTAGCATATAATTAAAAATGACGGACTTATTTTATGGTTGCGGGTGTATCATGAACATTGAACGTATGATTGTATTTGCGGTTGACCTTCTCTTGCCAAACGTGTTTGGCGCATCATAAAACATACAACCTCTTTATGTTTTGATTTTTAAACAATAGTGTGCTCTAAGCTTTATTTAAATTAATTAACAAATATTTTAGGTTTTTTAACATTAGATTTAAAGAAAATAAAAAAATAAAAATAAGAAAATTAAAATTAAAAAATAACGCACCCTTTATTTCGTTCACAGGTCACGTCAAAGTTACGATAATCAAATTCACTCGGTCGTTTTCTTGAACACAGTAAATCACTAGCACAGACTAGCGGATGTGTCTTCCTCACGGCGCGCGAACATCAACTGTTTGTTGTCTGTCCGTCGGTCGGCGGAGCACGCGCGCGTCCAAGCACCGCTTGATAAAAACCGAACACATACCACGTATAAGCTCTGGTATATGTACGAAAAAAAATTGCGAGACAATAAGATTTTTCATTCTGTAAAATCCATACGAAATACTGCTATTACGTAATTACGTAGATGCAACTTTTATATCGCTACGGGGCTGCTTCTTCCGCGATGCATCATTAGTTTTCATTTTAATGTTCAGTTACATATCCGTAGCTTATTGTTTTAGCTGCGGATTTAAATTAAACGGTTTCATATGAGAACTCCGTTTATTACGTACCTAAATAAATTATTATTTTCTATCGTTACTAATAGCCGTGAAAATTTTATGTTAAGACTAGATGAGCCGTAGTCAAGCTCTTCCTCGTCAAACCAAGACTTCTAATTTTCAACTGTACATCCAGTGATGATCCAACCACGCTATTCTAGATTCACCACCCTGCCTATTTCTGCCGTGAAGTAATAGTAATGCGTTTCGGTTTGAAGGGTGGAGCAGCCGTTGTAACTATACTTGAGACCTTAGAACTTATATCTCAAGGTGGCTGGCGCATTTACGTCGTAGATGTCTATGGGCTCCAGTAACCACTTAACTCTAGGTGGGCTGTGAGCTCGTCCACCCAACTAAGCAATAAAAAAAAAGATGAAATACAGGGGCCTACAAAAATCGTACGATGTATTTAAGACTCTTCACCTTCCATAATAAAGCATTAAATCTAAACTACCATGTACTTTAGTCTTGAAAATTCAAATTGACAATGTTCGATAAATCAAATCAAATCAAATCAAATCAAATCAAATCAAATCAAATCAAATCAAAAAATTTTTATTCAACATAAATGAAAGTACATACTTGTTGAACGTCAAAAGAACTACCGCCAATTCACAAGAACTAGCCTCCGTCCTGAGAAGAATTGGCAAGAAACTCAGCGGGCATGTTTTTTTTTTTTTTTTTTTTAAATTATTCTNAGTTTTCTTAAACCTATGTATATGTAGGTTCTGAACATCTTGTGGGATTTTGTTGTACAGGCGCACAGACAAACACCCGAATGAATTTCGTATCTTATGTAACCTACTCATCGGCACAACAAGCTTGTGTTTGTTCCTAGTATTTCTATTATGTATGTCCGACTTTTTAGGAAACTCCTCAATATGTTTACGAACATACTCCAAATTTCAAAATCGCCGAGAACAATATTAAATTACAGGATAATATTAAATACAAGTTTTATGAGAGGCAGAATCGATAGTACCCAAGGAGTTCGTCAGCTTGTTTAACTTGAGATCTTTGTTTCATTTAATTACGTTGCTATTTATAAAAACGAGATAAACAATAACTCGTATTTTTGCAACATTGTTGTCAATTTTATTTCTTTATAAAAAACTCAATATCGCGATCAAGTCTACTTTTACTAGCATGATTGATATAATATGTCGTTCTAAAAGAATTTTACGAAAATATAAATTTTAAAAGGTTATGTTGTCGTTATGCTCAAGACATGGGTGGATGGATGCCTGCTAATATAATACGCTGTTGACTTGTAAAATTGTTTGTTAACATATAATTAAAATAATTAATAATTAAATGGTAGAACACTATTTTTTATATATATTAGATAATTTGTTTTTATTGGCATATCCTAAACCGTCCTTATGTGTACCTACATAGAATCATTGAATATATTTATAATTACGAAAAATATATATGATTAAAACTAATTATCAGTTGAAAACATTTAAATATTCCATTCAACGGATACTTATTTAGAATAAACGACTATTATTATTATTTTTATTTAGCTGCAAGTGAACCATGGTATAAATGGTTCAAATACTGGCAGTCTGTCTGCTAATGCCTTCAGGATGCTGCTATTATAATTGTTATTACTGTTATTCAACATTTTTATTCAGAACAATAGCGTATAGCCCAAAAATAATAGTGATCGCTTTTAATCTATAATAATTACTTCCACATCATATTAAATAAGTTGCATTTTAAGTTGTGGATTCTGAATGTTTCTGCGCGTGCTTGAAACAATATTTATGATTTATTGCCTAATCATAATTCCTTTAAAACGCGTTGAACACCTGCTTGCTTTGTTAATAACAAAATTATTAAACTTAAATAAACTATCAATAACTGATAATTTGTCGTCAGGCCTTTGTTAATAATCAATAAGACACAATACTTGATGAGGTGGGCCGTGAGCTCGTTTGTAAGTTTAAATAAAAAAAGTCAAAACACCCAACGTAGATGACCTTATCGCTTTACCGGTTTCTTTCTGTCCCAAGTACAAATACTTATTTACCATCCATGAAGAGACGAAATCAAAAAGAACGCGTACTGTAAACTTACTCGATACAGTAAACGTCACCGATCCTAACAAATCAGTTGCGGCTATGTGTTCCGGTTTTAAGGGCAGAGCCGGTTTTCCACTCGCGAGTTTGTGGTAATTATTTCTAATAGAATAACCTTTTTTTTTGGGAAAGAAGAACTACTATATCTCCAAGGCCCTCCCAGTTTTACTAGGATAAATGACAGAGCACGGGCTTAGCCAGGAGAGATGGGTTTCGCAAACAACTGTCCGAGCGCTATCGAAAGGAATCTAACAGGTCAAGAGGAACTGCTGCACGAATGCGTCTACTACCGAATCATAATCGTGACCTGCTGAGAAGATGCGGCGAGAAACTCAGCGGGCTGATGTATGGATTAGGTTTCACGTTGAACTATTTGGCGAGTTCGACGAATACGGTTACCAGGGTCCCTAAGCCTGCTGCTAGTGCTATGGTTAATAAAGAATAGATCCATAAGAAAATATTTAGAGCATCCACGGTGACAGGCTCCGGCGAAAACGAGAGTCGGGGAGCACTCAGCGGCGGCTACGATGAGGCGCATATCATGAAACATGGCCTTATCTAAATACCACTACGACGCTGACTTCAGGCGTTTTTTGATGGATGATGATGGATAATGGACTTGAGGCCCAGATCGTCATGAAGATCGAGGTTCGGTGGTCCAATTGCTTTCCTTTAAAAAATAGATTGAAAGGCCGATATGTGTGCGGGCACACGAAACTCTAGGCCACTAACATTAGGCCATACGCAAGTTTTCTAAAATGTAATTTTGATGCAAAACGAAATTTTACTCCGCGTGCAGATCTTGAGATGAAATTTGCCCAGAAAGCGGCGAGGTCATTCATGTGTAGGTGAAATGTCATGGTTCAGGATGACACTCCGATACCTGACCTTCGTGGCCCAGGGTATCAGTGGGCCGAAAACGATGACCGGAGAAGTAAGATTACGACATCTAATGCGGGATGAGTTTCGAACCAAAATTATCCTTCTGAAGAGTACAGCTTGGTTTTCAAGGGGTTGAACTTTATTCGCTAAGTACGGAACTGTTATCCAAAAAAAAATGTATCCTTAACTGATATTATTTTTTAAATTTACGAGCTACAGGTTGGGGTGATCGATTCAATAAAAAATCCTGTAATAATAACTGTTAATAATCTTAAATTTTATTATTTTTCCTCACACCTGCACATGAGATGTTAAAATTGACTTAATTTATGTACATTTAAAATACATTAACGATAAACGAGAACGTTAAAAGCAGCTTATGTAATTTGGTAACCTGAAATCTACCACTACTTCAATAACTTTCAACTGTCACTGAATTAACCAACAGAACATGCCATTAAACGAAAGTTTTTTTTTTTGTTTTACTTACTAGCTGACCCGGCAGACTTCCTAGTGCCTGAATCGATAAATAAATAACCTAAACTTTTGTATAAAATAAACTTAAAAATTGTTATTTTTATTTAATTTCGAGCTTTTTCATATTTATCGAAACCTTTTAAGCCTTCCCTGGACTTCCACAAATAATTCAAGACCAAAATTAGTCAAATCGGTCCAGCCGTTCTCGAGTTTTAGCGAGACTAACGAACAGCAATTTATTTTTATATATAGAGAATATAGATAGATTAGAACAACTTGGCGTCGCGTCGCTCGGTGAAGCAGCAGCTAGACGTCTTCGGCATGACGTGGGAGGAGCTAGAACAGACTACCCAAGACCGATGTAAATGCAAGGATTTGATTCGAGCCCTACACCCCAGCAGAGGATAATAGGAAAGAAATAAGAAAAAGAATTAGAAACTTGAATATAAAAAATTGATGAATTTCTACTATTTTTATTGATCGCCTTAATCACGCAGTTCACGCCGCCACTCAAAACCTGGGTTCGTACCCTAAGCTTCACCTAGCACCAACAGACTCAAGTCTTCAAATAAGACACTGTAGCATCTTCGAAATTTTCAGATTTGTAATTTACACTTGGAACTAACTTACTAAGCTATGCTAAATGAACAAACAGTAATTTAAATTAACCAGATACGGCTTCCGTAGTAAAAATGTCAAAATTCAAATTCCGATTTCATATGTTTTTGGATAATCACGTTATGAGAACTACACAGCTTACGTCATGAATATGTTAACTTTTTGCATAAAAAAGTGTTAAGTTGAATTTCGAAAACTAATAAATTCAGAATTCAGAATTCGAATACACATTATTTGTTTTAGATTTTTACATATTGGTCCTGAAAGCTTACATAAGAATCAAATTTTTCAGTCAATCAGTTTTGTAACCCAATGAAATTACAATAAATCCAACGACAAAATATACTCAGGTGAGCTGCCAACTCATTCAAGAAATTAAGATTCACTTCAAGAAATGCTCACTATTATTATTGTTTATATTATATATTATTATTATTTCTTTTTATTGCTTAGGTGGGTGGACGAGCTCACGGTCCACCTGGTGTTAAGTGCTTACTGAAGCCCATAGACATCTACAACGTAAATGCGTCACCCACTTTGAGATATAAGTTCTAAGGTCTCAAGTGTAGCTACAACGGCTGCCCCACCCTTCAAACCGAAACGCATTACTGCTTCACGGCAGAAATAGACAGGGTGGTGGCGCCTACCCGTGCGGACTCTCAAGAGGTCCTACCACCAGTAG